TGGGACCTTTTCTCTGGAGTTATTTGGAGCAGCCTGGACATGGTGACTTTTGGTTTAGTAAAGCATTTTTCCTTTCCTTCCTTGACTTATTTATTGTGAAGGACCAGGATAGTTGTAGCAACATCTAAAGAGCAGAGAGAGCTTTCTCTGCCTGGAGTGTGTTGGAGGCTGGGGAGCACGAACCTGAGATGGACCAAAGTTCTTCCTTCACTGTGCTCCAGGTGAACTCCTGAGGAGTTATGGGTGGTTTGGTTTTTTCCTCTCTTTTTATTTTTTCCCTCCAAGAAAATGAAGGGGAAATGAAGATGATGTAAAGGAAAGACTGTCATGGAAACGGAGCAGCATTTGGAAGCAGCTCTCTGTTTTTAGAAATAAGGCCATGTGCTGAAAGAACCCAGAGCAATCTGGTCCCTCCAAACTGGTGTTGGTGAGAGACTGACAGTAGGAAGAGTTGGTGCCTGTCTAATAGCTATTCTTGGATTAAATTCCTGCCTGCAGAAATCCCACCTGGATTCAGTGTCCTGGGTCCATCCTGACCTGCTGAGTCTTGTGTCCTACCTGTGGTACCTCCTCAGGGCTCTTTCTGTAGCGTTGTGGAAAGCCAGTTATGGGATTACTGGTGGGATTCCATGTATTCCATGGCATTACATGTAGGATTCCAGGTTTCTTGTGCATCCCAGTGTAAGCTCTTGACAGCAGGAGGAGGCTGTGGACTCTACACTGCTTTGATATTCTCCCCTGTCGAGGATCCCAAGGTGGAAACTCCATCCCCTCATGTTCACTGGGCTGTTGTCTTCGGTGTTCTGTGTATTTTCAGGTTGTGTTACGTCTCTGGATGTGAGGGAGATGGGTTGACATGTTTTCTGATAAATGCAAGGAGACTTTTTAAGAGAAAATCCTTTCATATTATGCAGCGGAATTGGTGGATATAAATTATTTATGACTCGGGTTTTGTGTGCTGGAGAGCACAAAGCTGAAGTTTCCCAAATCGTGGTTATAAATAAAAGGACCAGAAATTTCAAGTGCTTAAAGCTGAACAGGCTGATGTGGGAGAGCTCCTGGATTCCACTCCCGGGTTCCCTGGGAGTTTGGCAGTGACACTTGGACATCCCCAGGGAAGGGAACGGAGCTGGGGAAGGGGCTGGAGCAGCAGGAGCAGCTGAGGGAGCTGGGGGGGCTCAGCCTGGAGAAAAGGAGGCTCAGGGGGGACCTTCTGGCTCTGCAACCCCCTGACAGGAGGGGGGAGCCGGGGGGATGTCGGGCTCTGCTCCCAGGGAACAAGGGACAGGAGGAGAGGGAACGGCCTCCAGCTGTGCCAGGGGAGGTTTAGTTTGGATATTGGGAACATCTCCTCACTGAAAGGGTGGGTAAGCATTGGAACAGGCTGCCCAGGGCAGTGGTGGAGTCACCATCCCTGCAAGTGTTGAAAAAATATCTGGATATGGCACTTGAGGCCGTGGTTTAGTGGTGACCATGGTGGTGGTGCTGGTTGATGGTTGGACTTGATCCTAAAGGTGTTTCCCAACCTGAGCAGTTCTGTGATTCTGGGGTCCATCAGGGACAGACAGAGCTGCTCTCCCAGGATGGCTTTAGGGCAGAGGATTTAGTGGGATCCATCTGCCCCACAGGCCCTGCAGGGATCTGTGACAAAACACTGAAGTTCTCCAATATTGTCCTGCAAGGAGAGTCTTTGGGGGGCTTTTGGTGGGAGAATTTCTTAGTTTGGGGGGGGCTGGTGAAGTGGTGTCACAAAAAACCCTTCCCTGGAGAGGGGAGAGGCCTGAGGGTGCTGATAAATGAATTCCCTGCATTCTGGAGCCAGTCCTGATTTGTTTAGCAGGTTCCAGGTTGGTGCAGCAGTGACACTGAGCTGGGACAATGGGACTGAACAATTTGCATAAACAGATTTGCTCTGCAATTACCAAGTTTCCTCAGCACAGCCAGGCATGGAGAGCAGGCAAGGGAGAAGCCACTGATGATGCCAGGTAACTTATTTTCAGATGCAAATAATCCAGCTGTTTCAAAATGACGTTTAAAATGAAATTACTGTGGCACAAAGCACAAAAGATGACAAATCTCATTTGGAGGGGTTTGTTTGTGTTTGGAGAGGAGAGTGACTTAGGGTGACATGTTGCATGCCAAGTCTGGGATCAAAATAGGTGCAAATAAAGTGTATTTTATGTAGCTGTGTATCTTTGAATGGAAAGGAGCTGTGGTTATTTAGGAGTAATGGGGTTGCTAAAATTGCAGTAAGTTTCTATTTTGGTATCTGTCTCCTCACCAGGTTTTTTTCTGGTGTTGGTACCTCCTTGTAAAGATTTCAGCTTGCACAGGATCAGTTCTGCCCTTTCCCCTCAGCTGTGAGCCTTGGAGAGCCTTGTTCTGCAGCAGAGTCCAGAGACCTCCGGTCTAATTGGGAAAGTTAATTAGTGTATTAATTACTGCATCTCATTGTCCAGTTAAATGGACACAGACTGCTGGAAAGGGGACAGGCAGAGATCTCCTTCCAGCACGCTTTGGACAGAGCTCAGCTGAGAAGAAGAGGATAACACAAGTTTTTCCAAGAGAGCTGCTGGCATTTGGGGCTCTGGGGGTGTGAGCTGTGCCCACGCTGTTTGAGTCACATCCAGGGTAGTCTGTGCCCACTGCTGCACACTGGCTCAAAGCCCACGTTTTCTGTCAGATTGTTTATCTATTTTTATATCCCACCAGCTCCTACTGCTGATGGAGAAGAAAAACTATTTTTCTTCCTACAGAAATTCTGTTCCTTTAGAAAAATTAAGCAAGCACATCCAGCTTTGCCTTAAAGCAGCTTATGGGAATGGCACATTTATTCCTGTAATTAGTTATTTTCTGATGTTAAAGACCTGTAAGGTTTATTAAATTGGTGATCCTCTTAATGCTAAAATTCACAATGAGACTCTCAAGTGTCCTATTACATCCTGAAGTAATTGTGTGCTCAGTAGGAGTCAGGCAGCCCGGGACAGGTTTATTTAAGGGAATAAATATTGTCCCTGTTTTTGTTTGGTGAGGGTTATCCTGGAGTCCCCGTGTCAAGGGAGAAATGGTTGCTCTTGCAGCCTGGTTGATTTTGTGTAGAGGAGGCCACCAGGATGATTTAAAAGGATGGAGCAGCCCTGCTGTGAGGAAAGGCTGAGAAAATTGGGATTGTTCAGCCTGGAGAAGAGAAGGCCCTGGGGTGACCTCACTGTGGCCTCCAGTGCCTGAAGGAGTGACTGGAAAGGTGGAGAGAAACTATTGACAGGGCAAAGGGAATGGCTTCCCACTGCCAGAGGGCAGGGGTAGATGGGATATTGGGAAGGAATTGTTCCCTGTGAGGGTGGTGAGGCCCTGGCACAGGTTGCCCAGAGAAGCTGTGGCTGCCCCTGGATCCCTGGAAGTGTCCAAGGCCAGGTTGGACGGGGCTTGGAGCACCTGGGCTGGTGGAAGGTGTCCCTGCCCATGGCAGGGGAGTTGGACTGGATGGGCTTTAAGGTCCCTTCCCACCCAAACCATCCTGGGATTCCATGATTCTACTCCAGTTGTGTAGAGCAGGTGAACTGGACCCACAGCCCCCGTGTGTGCCTGGGGACTGGGACAGGACCCTCGGGAGATGAGGGGCTGTAGCTGTGCCCTGAGCCTGCCTGGAGCTCGGGGTCAGTCCCTCCCTCTGCTGCTGTTGGGTGGGGATTTACAGGCAGGGGATGGTCCTGACTGACCCACTGCAGCTCTTGGTGAGGAGGGGAAGCACAGGGACATTGGATCCATGGCAAGGGAAAATTGGAGCTTCCCCTGCTGTTCATCCCACGAGAGGGCTGCCAGCTGGGATTGGGATGGGCCAGCTGGAAAGTTTTGGGGGTGAGGACCAATTGTTCCACATTTCCCACTGCAGCATCCAGCTTTACTGTTACATGTGACAGCCTTGGGGCTGATCATCACTGCTCAGAGACCTTTGGGTGGAGCAGCGTGGATCTGCCATCAGAGCAGTCATCCCTTCACTCCTGCCAGTGGAATGGATTGCATGGAATACCTTTTTGTTCCAGGCCTGTGAGAGGAGGAATGCTGATGTGTCGTTCTTCCTCTTCACTCGCTCTTTGGGATGTTATTCCTGGTTTGTAGTGCATTGTGTAAAGCAGAAAAAAGCTCATTCAACTGGTCTCACCCACATCACTGATGATCCATCTCCCCCAGTGTCAGGGACCGTGTTTTTCTCCTCCTGCTCTGCAAAGTCTGTGCTGGTCTTGCTGTTTGATCACTGCTCTCTCCATCAAAGCCCCTCTTGAACCCCCTCACTCCTCTGGAGCTCAGGGCTGGCACAGCAGGAGGAGCCCCTGCAGTGTTTCAGAGTCCCTGGGATGGAGAATCCAAGCCCAGCTGAACTCACAGCTCAGGAAAGAGCAGCTGGAGGAAGGAGAGGATGGGAAAGTGTGACAGAACAGAAAGGAGGGAGCTTGGAGTTCTGGCCTGACTGAAGTAATTGAATTCCAGTAATTAAGGAGTTATAATATCGTCATGCACTTAAACCAATAGCTTCAAACTTCTATTTTAAAAGGTCACCTCCCACATGAAAGCAGCTCTGGCATTAACTTGGTTTTCCACTGTGTGAGCTATCCAGCTGCTTCAGTGCCTCTGCACAGATGCCTGGAAAACCAGGTCCTTAATGAGGAGTCAGAGTGTGGAGTTTGGGAATGTCTGTTTGACTCCCACCTCTGAAAATCTGCCCTTTAAGAACCAGAAGCAGTAATGAATTAAACACTGGATTTCACAGTTGTTGCTAAGAATTAGCAAGTCTCTGCAGCATGGGAGAGAGATCTTCACAGTCGGGATCATCCCATCCAAGACCCCAATCCCGAGGGTCCGTTTTCTGTGTTAAAAAGGCAGAAGCACAACTTTTAGCACATGTGGGGTTTGTCCTTCAGAGCAGACAGGCTCCTGCTCAGGAGGGAGATGTCCAGAGCTTGCAGCCACACTTTAACCCCCTTTTTCCCTGTTTCCTGCAGGCCAGAGGAGCTGACATCCCCGAGATCCCGGGGGAGCTGCCGCTGCGCTCCTGCGGCAGCACCGCCAGCATGAAGGTGAAGAATGTCAAAAAGTAAGAGCACATTTCTCTGATTTTCCTGCCCTTCTGGGTTCACTATCCTGGGGTTCAGCTGTTGTGCTGCAATACAGGGAATTCAGCAGCGATTTTTCACAGTATCTTCAGCAGAGCAACCAAAATCCCTGTGAAACGAAATTCTGACTGATGTAATCCAAAAGTGGGGATGGGAGAGGCTCTGCTCTTCTCTCACCTGCTTCTGGCCATAGAAGCAAAGCTTGGTAGAGTTGTGAACTCACTGTTACAGTGTTGTTAATTTTTCTGTGATTTCTTCCTGAAACTGGAAAAAAAACATAGAGAAGAAATTTGAAGAGAAGCCCAGGCAATGTGTAAATGAGATCATTTTCCCTGTCTCCCTATGCTCTGGAAAGCTAAACCAGGACAAGTGGGTGGCCTAGATATATTTTTCGTTTGATAATTTTCCTCTTTTCCTTTCTTTTTGCATTCTTTGTATCTTCATTTGAATGGATTTTACCCAATTTTTCCTTTTAAGGGATATTTTTTTCTTCTCTGATCCCTCAGGTTGTTTTTTTTCCTGTGGGTTTATACAATATTTCTCTCTCTGATTGTCTCCCAGAGACTGTAACCCAAGTTATTCTTCAGCTAAGGTTTTAAACCTGCAACGGGGATCAAAAATAATCAATATTACTTTGCTAAAAGTGCTGACTTGAGGCCCAGAACTCCCCAATATTGATCCATCTGTGCCTTCAACTCCCCTCTGCCCGGTGCTCTGCTGTGAGGGAAGTGGCTCTTTGTTCTAGTGCTGAGCAGCCAGATGCTCATCTCCCTTCCCACTTGTATTCCCGTGGGAAGAGAGAGCAGGATAATGACAATCTCATTGGCTCCCCCCCGAAATATCTCTCGGAGTCTAGAATAGCTTCAGCAGAAGCAGGAGCATGTGCAGAGCCCCAGGAGCTCCCTGGCAGCCTCCAGGGTAGCTGGAGACACTCGGGAATAACGATGCCTGACTTTTGGATTTGAAAGAGGCAAAGGATAAATAGAGTTTGTTCTGCACCCTCAGATACATCCCCCCGGGACTGATGGGCTGTGATGCCTTTCACAGGTAATTCTGCTTTCCTTGTGTCTCGTGTAAGGCTGTGGATGTGCATTTGTGGAGCTGCAGCTGCTTGTCCCTGCTCCGTGTCCCCAGGCTGCTGGTGTTGCTGGAATGCCACAGGGTTCTGTAGGGATGCAGTGGGCTCTGGTGGTGTTGGAATGTCACACAGTTCCCAGGGATGCAATGGAAAAGCCACTTGGCACTGCACTTCTCCTCTCTCCCTCGGTTCCTTTCCCCACTGTTCTGGTGCATCCCATCAACCCACCCCTCTGTTCCCTTGGCTGCAGGATGAGGAGGTTGTTATTTATCCTTCTGTTCCCTTGGCTTTGGGATGAGGAAGCTGTTGTTCTATCCCAGTGACTGTGTTTTGTGGCAGTGCTCTGCATCCCTCTCATGGTGTGCTCTTGGTGTGCTCCAGGTTATCCTTCACCAAGGGGCACTTCCCGAAGATGGCCGAGTGTGCACATTTCCACTACGAGAACGTGGATTTTGGCAACATACAGGTGAGTCCCACGTTTCCTTTATATCCAAAACATCCTTGTGCTTGGCTGCCAACTGACCTGGTGTGGAGGAATAGAGGGGCCTGCCCTGAGTTTGGTGCCAAATGTTTAGTAAGAAGTCAAAGCAGTAGAGTCTTTCTTTGGAATTGCTTCCATGTGCTGGGCCAGAATCTGCTATTGGCCACGTGGAGCTCTCCTTAGAGCTTGGAGATGGTTTTATTCCCACTGGATTTGACTGATGTCACTGTTTCAAGGCTGCATTAGACATTCCTTATTGAGTCATCTGCAATCACTGCATGTGCATTTTCAGTTTGTGTATGTGTCATTAAACTGTTGTGTGAATGGACTGATGTAAATACAAATAAATCACATTTCTCTGCTCCCAGAGCTCTGCATTGTGCATTGCAGCAGCTGTGTCATCAAAATCCAAGGCAGTGGTGCAGTTCTGGAAGTGTGCAGCTCTGCTCCTGCATGATCCACCCCTCAGGAGCACAGGCAGGAGCATTTTCCAGGAGCAGCACCAGGGAGGGCTCAGACCCAGCAGCCACTGCTGGTTCTCACAAACAGGGCACATTTTGTTCTGCACTTAGAGAAGCAGAAATGCCTCCAGCATCTGCCAGCCTTGTAGGCAAAGAGAGGTTACAACCTTTTCATTTGTAAAACATTTCCTGTAATCCAGAGTGAATTATTTACAGCTTTTCCTGCTGTAGTACTTGACAGCTTTGCAGGCACAATTTGCAGCTGGTTTTTTTAACTCTGTAAAATTCCCACTGAGGAGGAGCCTGGTCCTGCTCAGGGCTGGGATGTGCTGCTCCTCACACCTCGTGGCCCTGAGCAGGCCAGGTCTGGGTGGGCCCTGCTGACCCTGAGCAGTCCCACCAAACACTGGACCCAGAGGACACAGCTCTGACGGGCCTGTGGGACAGGGGCTGCTGGGCAAACAGGAGCAGTCCCTGCAAACTGTGTTTATTTTCATTTTCTGTGTGTAGGAACAGTGTGATCTATCTATGTCTCTGGTTTTTGTCTCCTGGTAATTTGCTGATTTGACACCACTAATTGTTCAGTCATTTGAGGGAGCAGGAATGAACACCCAGGGGTGTTTGCACCCTGTGCTCCTCTGAGTTCTCCTTTCCATCACTTAGGGATGTTCAGCACAGTGTGTGAGCTGGAGAGGGAGCACAACCTGTGCATGGCATTGGCATTTTTGACACACAATTTAATTCTTTCGTGGGTTTAAGCATTTCCTGGGATGTTTTCAGGATGGCAGGGAACACCTGTTGGGTTGATATGCTGAGATTTTTGTGCTTGTGAGAGGGAGAAGCACAATCAGATAATATTTCCTTTCCCTACTTTCCTGCAAGATGTTCTGGTGGCAAGTTCCCCCAAACAGGAGGAGTCTGACCCTGGTTTTTGTGGTGTCATTGCTGCTCCTGCAGCTTCCCTGCTGATCCTCCTGCTCAGTGATCCTCTGGCACAGCCAGAGCAGCAGCTGTAACCAGAGGAGATCTGCCTGAAAAACAGCAATTGGGGAAGGATATAGCCCAGGAAGGAAAAATGGCATTGATTATTGAGCTGGATTATTGGTTATCTCAGCCCCTGAGCTGTCTCCTCTCTGTGTCTGTGCTGTGATTCCAGGAGGACAGTGCCTGATGGCAGCATGGGAAGCACTGTCATAAAACTGAGACTGTGTGTGTTGAGAGGTCAGTTCTCTGTTCCCACCACATCATCCTCTGCAAAACCCTACATGTTTAACTATTTGTGCTCCTAAAGCAAAATTTCTGCTTAAATAGGTGACTCAGGCCCTCTGTGCCTCTCACTCCTTCCTTTTCCTGAGCAAGATTCCTGGTAGACCCCCTCACTGCAATGACTTTTTAAAATGGTTAAAAATCTCTCAAGAACAAGAGCTTTGCTCCTGAAGTCCAGAAGAGTAAGGCATTGCAGATTTTCCTTGGAAGACCAGTATTAATGGTGAAAAAATGAAAGCTGTTCATACAACAGCAGTATTAGTTTACAGATTTAAAAATAGCTTCACACAGGGCTCATACATTTTAATCAGGTTGGAGGCTCCTTTGTGCTCCCAAGGTGGAGCAGAGAATGGCAGTGGGCTGGAGTGATGGGAAGTGACAGCTTGGCACCTAATAGCAAATTACTGAGCTGCATCTGAGGGCTGGTGGGTGGAAACTCCTTTCAAAATCTATTCACTGTTAAAAATTTGCATGGGAGAAGTACAGTATTATGTGGCTGTGTCAGGAATTGTGTAATGCTGTCTATTAACAGCCTGGCCAAATTTCAGGTTGTTTTGTAACGTTTATGTCACTTATAATATGGTGCAAGAGGTATTAATATCCTGGCATTTCACCTCATGGGATGTTTTAAAATAACTTGCTGAGATGTAGAAGAAAGGATTTGTTCTCTTCTTATCCCAGCACTGTACTAATGGAACAAAGTGCATTTTGGGGTGCTTTTGCTCTTCAGGAATGTTCTGCCAGGCTGCTTTAGCAGCAAGGTTTTCCCCTTCTCTGTGGTTGTCAGCAAGGCACGTGTTGCACGGGCAGGAAGTTGCTGGTTCACCAGCTGATGTCAGAGCTGGAGGTACAGGTTGGGCTCCACAGGTTGCATCAGTGCCCAAACCTCACTGGTGTTTTGCTGAAATACCTTATGTTTATTACTGCAATTATTTTGTAAGGCTGCATGATTGATTTTTAACTTGTAATGCAAACCCAGGTTGTGTTCAATAGATATATTTTAGTCTGATGTGGGACAAATGTTCAGAGCTGAGGCTCAGCCTTGCCATGTTCTGTGTGGCCCAAGGGGATGCCATGAGACCATGGTTCTCCTCAATTTAGCTAAAACACAAAGCATCTCCCCTTTAACTCTTTGGATCTGGTTTTCACTCATTGAATACATTGCTGGTAAGTCCACATGAAAACCTCTGTACAAACAGAAGGTCATTTCCAAGTGGTTAAACTGCATTGGTGCAGAAGACTATCTGTGATTAGACCTGTAAAATGATAAAAGTACACACTGGTCACCATCAGCACTTTGCATGTAGGTAGTGCAAACTTTGTTTCTTATCTCTTGGTCTTCTCTCAGATTTGTGAAAAAATAACTGAAAATAACTCATCAGGTGTGGGACCTATTGAGGCAGCTTCAAATTCACCAAGTTTAAAAAATGTGAGATAGGGCCCCACGGCCTTTTGTTTGCGTTAAGAACCAACTCTAGACTGAGACAGAGTTAAATTTCATTTATAATTTAAAGAGACATTAATATAATTCAACAGCTGTATGCTAAAAAAAAGTCTCAGTCTGGTTACCCAGACTGCGTGTGGTTCCCCAGCCTGGCTTGGGTGGGTTCTGCTGGGCTCCTTCTCTCTTTATCTCTGCTGCCTTTCCGTGATTCTTGGCCAGTGCCTGTCTGTGATGCCTCTCCAGAACATCCAAACTCAGTTTATTAAAGTACAAACTGATCCTGGTTGCACTCACACTGGTGTTCAGGGCACCTGAGTGTGCAGGTGACGCTGAAGGGTGGAGGGCACAGAATCCCAGAATGTGCTGAGCTGGAAGGGCCCCACAAGGATCATCCAGTCCCTCAGCCCTGCACAGGCCCAGCCCCAAGAGTCACCCCCTGTGCCCCAGAGGATCATCCAAACCCTCCTGGAGCTCTGGCAGCCTTGGGGCTGTGCCCACTGCCCTGGGGAGCCTGGGCAGTGCCCAACCAGCCTCTGGGGGAAGAACCTTTTCCTGAGATCCAACCTGAGCCTGCCCTGACTCTGCTGGGAGTCCTCAGTCTCTTCCAGGAGGGCTCCCCATGCACTGAAGTTCAGAAGTGCCTGAATCATCCCAGTGGAACTCCAGATGAGCTCCCAGGCTGTACCTGAGGCAGCTCATGAAATGTAGGCAGGGTTTCAGTGTCTGCTGGTTGAAGAGCTTCCTGAGGGGTGTGAGCTGTTCCCCAGGGAGCTGCTGACCCACAGGTCCTCCACCAGCCAGGGCAGCTCCTCCCAAGCCCAGGGGCTGGGCTGGTGTGTCCCAGGGCTGGGGAGCTGTTCAGGTGAACCCCTTGCCATGTCACTGAGTGTCTCAGGACAGCTGTGGCACAGTGTCTGAGTGCCCTTCGTGAGCTTTAGGGCTTGTTAATGCACAGGAATTGAATTATTTCAGCAACTCCCCATGTCATTATTAACTTGGACAAAGCAGAATGATTCACCCTCCTTAACATGGTGCAAATTGGTGGTCACAGCACCAACCCTGCCAGGGCTCAAGGAGTGTTTGGACAACACTCAGGCACAGGGTGGGATTTTGGGCTGTCCTGTGCAGGGCCAGAAGTTGGACTCAATGCTCCTGGTGGGTCCCTTCCAACTCAGGACATTCCATGATTCCCTGAAATGTGGTTTTACTTTATTAGTGCTCTGTGCCATTAATATAAACAGGAGAAACAGTGCTCAGGTATTCCATAAATATCTTTACTTCCTGCCAGAAATAAAGACTCTGTTCTTCACTTGAAAGAATTAGGAAGTTCTGTGTAGTTGGGGAGGTTTTGGTGATGGATACGGAGAGCTGATCAGCTCTGTGCTTCCCAGATAACATCCTTTGCTCCCTGAAAGCCCATTGCTGAAGGAAGTGCTGTAATGCACATTTATTTCACTCCAGCATCTTGCATTTGACACAGATTTGTCCCTTCAAACAGCACAGTCTCTGTCTGTGTTTGCTGCTTTCTAAAAATAACCCCCTGTTGGGGCAGGGCTGGCTCTGGGCTGGAAGATCCTCTCCTTATCTCCCAGCTGTGGCTGAGCAGTGGCAGGAGGTGTTATCAGTGCTAAAGGAAGTATTTGAAGCACAATCACTTCCTCCCGCGGAGGCATCAGCTGCCAGGAATTCCTGTCAGGACCGGGAGCATTGTGTGCTGTGGGAATGCCTTTGGCACAGCCTCCCAGCCAACCTTCAGCCCCTGGAATTGGATTTTCCTGTCGTGCCTCAACAGTTAGAGACATCCCAAAGAGCAG